CTAACTGCGAGAAGACAATGAACCGTAAGGTCTAGGTGATTTCCAAGACCTCACAGGAGATTTCGCAAGTAGCGTTACAAAGAAAACCACAGCTTTTTCTGAAAGCGTTTCGGGTGTGATAGCTGACGAAAACCTGCTTGATTAGTGCAACTAATTTAGCACTGTCGAGAGTACCCATCGGCATGGTGCTTCGTGTTTAATCCAGACCCAACCCATTGGCTAGGACGGATACTTGCTTCTGATGGCTGTTGAAATGGATTAGTTGAAGAAGTTGAAGTCCATAAATGACACACTTCATCCGCGTCTGGTTTATGGCAATTAGTGAAATAAACGGAATGTCAAAGCGACAGTCAACGCGATTCGAATTCATTGGCGAAGTCAACATATGTCCTACTCTTTTTGATGTTCAGTGAGTGCTTCTAATCAGTTGACTTCCACTACCTTAAGAGATTTTTTCGAAACATGGCACGTGAAAATTTCGGCAAATCCGTTCAAACTATGTGGGTTCTCTGCATCTCTTGTTCGATTGCAAGTATATACAATTACCGTGCTTTAACGCCGTCGGTTTTCTTCCCCCACAGAGTTGTCTCAACATAGAATTTTGTTTAATTATGCCATAAATTGTGCTCCTGTTTACGTAAAAGCACTTGCATAAGTCAACTACTGATAGGCCGGATTTATGAGAATATCTAATACGTTTCCGCATTGTTTTGATAGTGTAACGAAAGCAGTCGGATCTTACATTCGGTTCCGGCACAGTGAGCCGCACACCTGAGGGTGAATTTTAACATTTTTCAAGATGTATCTTCAGTCCTACTATAACAACAAAGGATTTTATGAGGAATATGCAGTTTGTTTTCGTAACTTCGTCTTCAGGCCTTTACAGTTGTGTGTGTAACTGTAAAGGCCTGAAGACGAAGTTACGAAAACAAGCTTGTTCGCTATACTGTTTGGCTATTGATATTCTTATGGGAACCTTCCGTGAAATACGCAGTTTCCTATTTTTTCAACTTATTCACAGTAATTATCATTTACCGACATATTTACTTTGCATGATATGAAAAAAATCTTGGTATCCGAAAGACTTAGAATGACCATCTCTGTTAGTTATCAGTTAAATGCTAGAGCGAATTTTTGTGCGGCAATAGACTTGGCATTATTGTTGAGTTGTAAATTTCGAACGAATATATGCTTCATATTGGTAACCGACATCAAACCAAATCAAATGATGTGCAAAGAGAGAATTAGGAGTATTAGTGTATCGATGCATCGATGTAAAAATGATATTGGAAACTAAAATCGATTTCTCTAGTTTTCTCATGCTTCATGAGTTCGTTCAATACCAAACAGTAGAGGCCAGATGATGACCTTAGGTGGAATGAAGAGACAGTAGAAGCGGACAATGGATGAGTACCTGGGGCAAGATACAGACATAAGAAATAATGGAACGGCGGATAAATACTCACGTCTTTCAACGCTTGTTCAGAAATGATACGCCCTTTCCTATCTCGGCGTACAGTCTCCCCTTCGTCCTAGAATAGAAAATAAAAATTGCCTGTAGTTAGTTGGTGAATTCCTTTGAAGCGAGTTAAACAAAATGGTTAAATAATTTGCCACCAAGTGATACCACACGTCAGTAAACAGTGTAACTGGAACCAGACAATCATTGTACTTTGTGGACTACGAATGATAAGTATTGCCTTTACAAGTATCTGACTTGCAGTGGTGAAAGCGGGAGCGGTTTCGGTTCATTCGAGTATGGTCGGTGAGGTGGACATGGAACTAGTCACTTTTGTGCATCAACAGCGCATATAGTCTAGATGGAGGACAAGATGATGATTGGTTTGGGTTCCGGGTCCTAATTGATCATGGCACACACAAACGTGTGTCAGGAACAATCGAACTAACAAAAGTGACCGTTTGAATTATCAGCACAATTCCCACATCGACGGTCACCTGAATGAGCTTGCTTATGAAGATGATCATTCAAACCGCAAAAAGCATGATTTCCAGTGTTTGTTGTATATGCCCTGTCGCGAGTCATCGGTCTCTATTTGAAGCACTGCTCGCTGAAAAAAGGAATTCGTTCAAGACGGTGGAATCGGTCAATAAAAATACGATTATTAAAAACTGGGAATACTGATCATCCAGCGGTCTCAATTTGGAGATGTCCTCGTGCTTCTCTAGAGGCTAATATGAACGACTGTAGATCATCATATAAATTATCGGTATTCGGTCAATCCGTTCACGAAAGGTGTGGTAATCGGAATTTCGCAACAGAAGCCATTGTTCTTCTTTATTCGGTCTTGCTTAGTAGTCTCGGAGAAAACGTAGTTCTCGGACTAATGTTGAGAGTAGCAGACTGGTGGTGTTCCAGCACTGCTGATGACGAGAATCTGGTGGGACAACTGAATGGGATGCCAAGAAAAGCATTATGTAGCCGTGGTTGCGCACCAACACCACTGGTCAACCGCCATCCCCTTCGTCTATGGTGATATCTGTTGTCAACGGCGTGATTCGCGTATCGAACGATTTAATGTATACATCTAGGTTGTTTTTACCAAAATTGTTTTTCTGGTCTGTTTTCTCTGGTTTCCGTATATAACCAGATCCTTTTCTTTATGGTTCAAATAGATTCATGGGCAGTAATCAAAATCGGAGCACAGAAAAGCGCGATGTCAAGGATTTTTCACATTGAAATTTTGAAAGTAGCACCAGATAGCACCAGTAATGTGTATGTAATAGGCGAGAACGAGCACAAAATCAGGTTGTTTAACACGAGTGTCTCTCGAGAAGGGGGCTCAAACAGCTTCCCTTATTTACACCGACCAATGAATGTTTGCAACAACGCGAGTTACAACGTGGGTCCAGGTTAGTCCATTTAAGCGCAGTGACACTAGTTAGGGGTATATATATAGTAAAAAGAGCAACTCAGATTCGTCGATCACCCCCAGCAGTAACATAGATATCCCAAAATACAACAAAAGTACATATATAGGTATGGAGAAAACATATCGCGGTTCGGGAGGAAGTATGAACAAACCCAACTCACCCGAAGTTTGGGATTCTTCAAACGGGAAAAGTACCGTTCGAGCTGAAAGATGAACAGAGTAAGTCGGAAATAAATAGAAAAAAAAACAATATGACCAATGAGAATAAGGCAATAATGGACGAAACAGGGGATGATCAAATCGATACCCAATATAATTGAAAAACACGTGTGACACGAGCAAATTCCTAACAATTTGAGTAGTGAAAATGAGAAAACGAACGCGGCTGAGGTCAGAAACAAAAAGGCAACACTGATTGGTACACTATCCACCTACAATGAATTGATTTTGCTTGCTATTAAATGATTCCAAAGCAGCCGGAATCCGATACCCTGAAGGGGGTGCCCGAGAAGTTTACCTCAATATTAAGATCGCTTTATTCTGATAGGGAATCTTGAGCTTACTGCACTTTTCCGCCCGAGTGCACTGTAGAAATGGTGTTCATCAGAGTTGTACTCTCTCTCTCTCTCCTGTTCTGCAGATTTGATTCTGGAAATGACTTTGTGTGCGTGCAAGGATAGTGGCATCGATTTGCTTCCAAGAGACAAACTGTCTGATCTGGAGTATGCAGATGACATCGTACTACTAAGTGAAGATCCACCTAAGTTGAAAGCTTTTCTGGACAGTTTGAGCTGCTAGTGTAGCCATGTTCGGTATGCGTTTTGCAACCTCAAAGTGAAAAATGATGGATTGGTCGAGCTTCCAAACTTACTCTAATTGGAGAAGTAACGGAGTAAATGGACAAATTTTGTTATTTGGGAAGGTACATATCCCATAAACGCATAACGGATGAAGTGTCGGTTCGCATACGGGAAGTTCGATTAGCATACGACAAATCGAGACATCTGTGGCGCCGTTGCAACATTCGGCTGTCTCTGAAACGTCGAGTATATGCTGCGCAGTTCGGCCAGTTCTGCTATACGGAGCAGAAACTTGACCACTAAGGAAACAGGATAAAGATAGACTGTCGGTGTTTGAACACCGCTGTCTAGGTAGTATTGTACGAATCCGATGGGGGCAGCCGGACGAGCAAAGCTGAAGTTAGGCGTCGAGTTTTAGATAACCGTGGTCGCCCACAGGAGCAAGTAGTCGATCTCCATAGATTACGTTGGTTGGGGCATGTGTTACGGATGTCACCAAATATGTTACCACGGCCAGCGATGTTCGCTGAGGCAGGAAGTGGTTGGAATAAAGCCAAGGGTGATCGAGCTAAGACCTGGCACGAGGGTAAGAAAACCCTGATCGGGAAACTCGGTCACATAGGTCGCATTAGGCTGCCTGGATGGGAACATCGGGAGCGTAATCAATAGTTGGAAACAGTGTCGTAAACCGGCGCCAGTGTATCGATTTCTCAATTCCTTTGGAACCTTGGTCTACCGGAATTCTCCATCTTCTCGTCAATACTGCATAGTCTTCAAATTATTGTGGCGTTCCGTGGAAAAGACGTTTGCCAAGCGAGAATCCAGCACGTCCACGGTTATGCTGTTGTTTGCCTGCGGTCCATTATTCGGTGAGCATCAATTAGGATATGCGTATCGTACTTCACACAGGTCTGGATACAGACTGTGCGCCAAACAAAGCATAGTACAATAATCTACATAAAAGGGAAAAGGTTCCATGATCGGAATGGCCGCTCTATGATCCGGCAGCTGGGGACGCGCCGAGTAGCGTGCAGTTCTGCTTCGAACTATCACAATCGCGTTGCCCATTACATTGGATGGAGTGGTTAGAGCTCAGATATCCCGTCCTAATGCGCCGTTATAACTCAGAATAATTTTAATGAAACAGTGAAACAGAAATTGATGATCACATACTTGTAATTTCCAAACATTTTCAACACGCGTGTAGTAGGCAGGAAAAAACCGGAGACAGTTGCCTGTACACAACGTGTTCATTCAGAAGCTAACCTAATTTCTAGGCCAAATCATTTGACAAAATAATAAAGATGCTCTACCGGTGTTACGCCACCTTGTACGTGACAGGTGGAGCATCTGCAGTACACTTCTCGACTGCGTTGGCGAAGATTAGGTAAACGAGTATTGATGGCCTTTTGATGCAGTGGTCCTGGAGCCAACCACTTGCAAGTCGATTAATATATGGTCGAAAAAATGTGGCTATTTTATTACACGCCCTAGTGCGATGAACATTAACTGAGGTGGAACTTTTTGTCACGAGGACCCAATGGTTGCTTGTGGGACTGTGGTAAGCTAACTCCTGGGGTTTGAAGCAAAGAACTGTCCAAGTCACTAAAAGAATAAGATCGAGTAAAAGGGCGGTTGCCTGTCACCTAAATTCAAATTTGGTTGGTGCAAATTGTCTTGGGTACCCATTTGGAAAACCATCTTTCCCATCTGTCTAGTCCTTCTCAATCCCGA